TTCTCTATAAAAAGGGTCACAGGGGCCCTGTAAAAGGGGTTAGTCAATTCACCCAGGTAAGAAAGAAGGCTGATCTTGAGAAGTTCAAGGGTAGAGGAAGAGGAGGACGCCCATGCAAGAGGAGGGGTTCCTACTTGCAGTTCGCCAACACCACTATTGTCACCTCTGGATTTGAATCCCAACCATTTTTTCTTCAGTTTTAGAATTACTTTTTGTTCTTTAATTTCCGATTCATTTTTTTCTTCCTRCAAATTTTACTTTTATTAGATTTAATTTGTATTTTATTTCTTTTTTGCAGATTTGAAATTTGGCCAGGTAAGACGGAAGGCCTAGAGACTACTACCTCTGATCGGATTCCTAGACATTTTTATTTCGTTCCTTTTATTTATTTGTCCCTGTTATTTATTTTTATGCACTTATTATTCTCATTACTATTCGAGTTTGGTTTTAATGAATTCCATTTGTTTCTCTTTTTAATTAATTAATTTTATATTTTTGCAACTCCCCTTTATGTTCTCTCTCCTGGATCTAAGTACGTAATAATTTTTCCTCGCTTCCTTGTGGAGACAACCCATTCTCACCTAGTTACTACGTTAGTAGTTGTTTAAGAATCGGAATAAAATTATAAATGTTTAAACTGGTGTTCCGAAGTGTTTAACGACGCACTTCCGGACACACCAGGGAGTAAACTGCAAATAGGCTGACTGTAAATTTTGGTTGTTATTGCCTCATAGTTCATATTTGATTTTGTCTCATTTGTTTATAAGAAATAAAATAGAAAGTCAAATGATATAATCCCCACCTTATATGAAAGAGAATGTTAGGTGGTTTATTATTTATTTATTTATTTTGGAATTAGTTAGAAGCAAGATGATGTGGAGAGAGTATTGATGAGGTAGGAGGAAATTGGTGAAAATTTTGCACCAGTTTTTGGAACAAAATTTGCACTTCTAATAAATGAAAATGAGACAAAAAAGTACAAGTTCTGTATCAAGTAGGAGTGCAAATCATTGTTGCAAGAAAAAAAAAGCAGATGCAAAATTATACTTGGTTCAAATTTGCACTAGAGACAAATAGAGCCTTAGCGGATTAAGGTCAACAGAATTTACCATTATTATACATTTCAAGGTTTCTAAAACCAAACCGGACAATGAACCGGTCAGGGGTCCAATTCCCAAGTCGAATGGTCAGACCRTTTGAATTGAATAGATGACCCGTTTTGATAAAAAAATTAAAAAATGGCCAAAACCATTGGAAGATTCGAATGGTTTGAACGGTTTGACCGCCCAGTTTAGCGGTTTTCTGACGAAATCAACGATTTTTGGTGAAATAATGATTCTAGGGTAAAATGGAACCACCCACCTGACTGGTTGCTGGTTTTTTCAGTCTGACCATCCGGTCCGGTCCGACTTTGAAAACCATGATACATTTAAGATCAGATTGAAATAAGTACAAATACAAATATGTACAATACAAGTACATACAAAATAATATAAAATGCAAAATTTTATACTCTACAAATTTGTATTTATACTCCTTCCAAACTGAGCCTTAAGAACAATGTTATAGTACTTTAAGAGTAGGTCCCACTAGAAAACATTTGCCTACATACATAAATACATACATATTTATTTAACATTTTTTTCTTCAAGGCCTCAATCCTAACCTAACGTGAACCAAAGTCAAATTCATATTTATTACCCTAACCCTAATCCAAACTTCAGCCCATCCCAATCCGATCCGGACATTTTTAGGTTGGGTTATCCACTTCTTGTTTGTAGTAGATCCTGCTTGGAACCGAAGCTGTATAGAATGAGCTTTTCTGGCTTAAATAGACTATCGAAATGGTTTCTGGAGAATGTAGTTAAATACACAGAAACTGTAATCCACTGGTAAAACCACAGGAACTCAAACAAATTAATCTACATTCCAAAACTGCCTATTTTTCTTATAAGAGAGGCCTTCCATTGTATATTTTCACATACATCACTGAACTGTATGTATATCCAAAGGGTTATGGGTAAGGTAGTCCATCAGTCCTAGTCTCTGAAGCCTATATAAAGTAATTTTCAATTGTTTATATATGCTATATATGCATGTAAAATGTTCTGTACAAAATGTTCAGTAAGATGCAATTCACTCAGCACATAGCGTACTTCCGAGTCCACTCCTTTGTTTTCTTGTTATATTCTTCCCTATTATTTCTGTATAGAATAGCAATTGGATTGAAAGAAATGTCTGCATTTGGATCAGCAAGAAGTGAGCATATTGACAGTAACACCCACTCAATAGTCAGTACAGGAGTCCATCTGTCCCACAGTATGTCTAGATGGATGGTGCCATCCTCATCGATATTTGGATGAATGACCTACAACCCACAGAATAGCATTTGAAAAGAAAAATCAATACCAATTGGGGAAAATCTATGATGCTGGAAAGACATGGTACCAGAGGAGCTTTGGCCAATCAAAATCCACTCATGAATTTTGATAAATACCACCTGATTGGTTGATACGTTTATGATGATACCGTTTAATTGATCACAAGTTTTTTAGATACGAAGTCTTTCCGGTTTTATAGTCAAACCCTTGTACTTCAGCCAATAATAAATAGGGAAATTTCCTTATCAGTACCCTGTACTTTGGCTCGAGTGACAATTCAGTCTCCAAACTTTAAAATGCGACAATTCAGTACTCGAACTTTCAAAATGTGACAATTCAGTACCTGCCGTTAACCAATCCGTTAATCAGCCGTTAAGTGACATTTGAAAAGTAAAAAATGTCCTAAGAATGYCATCTAATTCTCTTTATCAACCATCCAAACATTGACAATAAAATGAAGAGTCCCAAATTCTAAATTCTTCTAAACAGTCACCAACTTTTTTGAATAGAAGAGGCTAGGATTTGGGACTGTTCAGTTTTTTTGTCAATGTTTGGATGGTTGATAAAGAGAATTAGATGGCATTCGAAGGGCATTTTTGACTTTTCAAATGTCACTTCGGCTGATTAACGGACTGGTTAACGGCAGGTACTGGATTGTCACATTTTGAAAGTTCGGGGACCAAATTGTCACTCGAGCCAAAGTACAACGTACTAATTGGAAATTTTCCCTAATAAATACATAGATTTTCTGATTGTAATTTATTTCTTATTTATTTGTCTCCAGAGACACTAATATATAGGGAAAAACACATGTAGAACAAAAGTTTCAATGGCATTTGGAAAAAAAATGCTTTGCAATACAATTTCCTGTCATGCAAGATGTCTGCCTCAAATGGCCTAATTAGAGAACTTAGTAATTTTTCCAAGAGGAAAATTATGGATGCAGGAGCACCTATACCTTAACTTGCAGCACAATCATGTACTGAACTTTGGTATTAACAGAAAATGGTTTTAAATCCTTCTCAGAAAAAAAAAAAAAAAAGTTTACCTTTCACAGATACAGTTAGACATCCTAAAATTCTTGAGATATCTGCTTTCTCTCATAAATATGATTGCACTTCAATCTCAAAATCAGGTTTATTAATGCTTTCCTGTTTAGTAGAAATTAATAACACAGAGTATGTCATATCAGAACAATCCACTTCTATCTCTGAGATCTAGACCAACAACAACAACAGTGACAACAAAAACACAAGATCAAGTTCAAGAATTTAGGAACTGATTGATGTATATAGATTACAAACAAATGCCAAAACTGTCCTCTAATACCTGATAGATAACAAGTTTATACTACTACTGGTTTTCTTTACCCTACAGACACACTGGGACCAAGAAAAGACATATCCAACTTTGTTTTGTAGTGTGCCTTTCCATGGGTCCTACCATGTCTTTAAGGCAAGTTATCCAAGATTTTAATAAACTTGTTTGCTAGCATTCCTCCATCTAATGTTGTCTTTTCATGATAATCTCATATTTAAGAATTCATAAACCAGTTTTCTAACTGAACGGAATTTTCCTTCAATGTCTAAATTGAATTCTCACAATATCTTCAGGAGGAGGAGGAACAAAACAAAGAAATTCTTATCCTCTGTGCCACTACCTTACAACTACAGTTCCCTCAGTAAGCTTTGTAACTTTTTGTTCTCATGTTTGATTTTACCTTCAACTTCTTAAGCATTGATTATGACTATTTAAATTTCTTCCATGTTCCAATCATGGAAAGGAGGTAATAAATTAATATTATTAAATAGTTTCTATATTTGATAAAGCTCCATTTGATAACGCTCCATTAAATAGTTGCGTCCACTTTGTAACTTTGCAATAAAGACTTCAGATAGCCAATGAAAAAAGGGTTTTCCACTTATAACTAACACATAGGCACCTTGAATTACTCAGAGAACTTTTCTTCTGCTGAATTTTGCTTTGGTCCATTTAAGTTGCAGTTGGATCGTGACTGATAGCTGCAACATATTAATTGAGTAATTCATATTTCCTCGCAGACAACAGTAGAAGAATCCATAGCAACTCTGATGAGGGCGGATTTGGCCTTCCAATTATATTGTGACACATGGTACCTCGGAACAATTAGGTGACATTCAGAATCACTTTGGCAATAATTTGCCTTAGCCAAGTTGATGGTGTCCCACCTGGCGGCCTGGCACAAGCACGGCCTAGCAGCCTGGCATAAGCACCGACCTGGCGGCCTGGCACAGGCACCGATCTGGCGGCCTGGCCCAGGCGTGACCTGGCAGCCTGGCACAGGCGCCAACTTGGCGACCTGGCACATGCGCCGACCTAGCGACTTKCAAGACGTGCTCGCCGACGAATTCGGTTTGCATATCCAAACACTTTCACGATCCTTGGAAGTTGGCCCACGTGTCGAACGATCCGAAGGGTGGTCAACGTGCATGGCAGTTACCTCAGGGAATCTTGGACCACTTAAAACGACTTCTCAGAAATCTCGGATATGTTGTGTGAAGCCCACGCCAAACAATGACTATATAAGAGAACCAACCCCAATGACATGGGGGGCAAGTAAGCATATTTTAGCTCTCATACTTTGTGATTTTTAGCTCGCAATCTGCTATGAGAGTACTGACTTAAGCATTGGAGCAACCTCGCCGGGTTAGGATCCCGTGGTTCTCTGATATCCTTAAAGGTTCAGCCCGCCGTCTGTTTGGAAGCCAGGTCACCTCCAACTGGGAGCAGCCAGCTCACCTCCAACTGGAAGCCAGGTCACATCCAGCTGGCTTCCATTTTATAATTTTAAGTGACTTCAACCTTAGCAATAAAGACTTCAGATAGTCAATGAAAAAAGGGTTTTCCACTTATAACTAACACATAGGCACCTTGAATTACTGAGAGCACTTTTCTTCTGCTGAATTTTTCTTTGGTCCAGTTAAGTTGCAGTTGGATCGTGACTGATAGCTGCAACATATTAATTGAGTAATTCATATTTCCTCGCAGGCAACAGTAGAAGAACCCATAGCAACTCCATTACTGCAATATTGTATCTTCACTAAAGGAAAACAAGTGCAAACAATCCCAAACTCGATATCTAAGATGAATTTTTAAAATTGTCTCCCAATCAGGCTAATAGTGAAACTGCATCTCCTTGTCTATGGTGGGGATGCCCCCCCCCCCCCATACATTATCTCTGCAAAAGTCCAAAGAACTACAATATACAAAAGAAACAATGGATTCGACTATCTTGAAACATTTAGAATGCATCATACTCTGAGAAGTTACACATGAACTAGAAAAGGTAAATAGTCATAGAATGGTAATTGGTTCTTAATTACATTGACAATAAGAAAAGTATGAAATAAATTACCATACAAAATAAAGGCTTTTTTTTCCATCTAAACCCTGCTTTCACAATCTTTTACTTAAAAAATGACTCCAAAAAATAAAAATAATTTAGTATAAAAAGGATTATTTTTCTGCTCATTTGTGATCTTTCCTATGGATGGAAGGATGATGTGGATTTATGGATAGTCTAGAACCTCATGATTCCTTTTGAGAAAATAAGAAACTATCAATYAATTTATAAAAGAATGACTGTGAAGCCATTTGCAAGTTTAACCCTGTTCAATCATGTGTACTCAGAGCGGCAAAAGTTCAAACCTCAATACAGAAATACAATAACAAAGCTGCAAAATCATGCAGAGGTTATTGAAGAATTAGGCATATTATATTTCAAACCTCTCTGCTTAGAATGTGATTTATGGACTTAATACCAAGAGATACATAGTTCCCACAAATGCCAAAGAAATGCTTACCTTAGTTTTGAATTTGATCTCTGGAGGACTGTTGGGGTAATCCTCAGGGATATGGATGGATAAAAAGAATAATCCTCCCTCATAGGGTGTACACTCTGGCCCCATGATCACTCCTTGCCACTCAAAGATGTCATTGCCCACAGGCCCACAACTGCAATGACTCAGAGGATCTTTCTTTGTTGCGTCGAGTTCCTTCAGCAGTCTGATCCTTGAGTATTCGCTGATACCTAATTGCAAACGAGTTTCTACTACAAAAAGTCAGGAGATGAGTGTGAAGAGCAACTGCAGAATCAAATTCTCGCAACCACAATAGAAATAAGATATCTAAAGCAAGATATAAAAGAATATCAAAAACAAACAAAAACCCAGCATTGTTCACCACGAACCAAGTCGCTATAGAGGAACTGACTAGATTTTGTTCTATTGGTTTCTATGTTCTGGTTAATTTTCACCAAAAATGAATCCAAGCAGAGAGAGAGAGAGAGAGAGAGAGAGAGAGAGAGAGAGAGAACTGAAGCAATACTAAAACGAGGTTAGGATACTTGGGAATGAAGTGAAAAATCCTAATTAGAAACGAGAATTTTGCTACAAACCCAAGTTTTGAAACCTTCATCAGGAATAACAAACAACCGAAATGAGAGCAACAGACACAGACAGATAGATAAAGTACATACATAGAGAGAGAGAGAGAGAGAGTTTTACCATGATCAGAAATATTGTCGTCTCTGAATGGCGCTGGCGCAGGCAGCGACAGTCCAGACTCTCCTGACCAGTATGCAACCTCAGGAATCTCACCTGCAGGATTCTGCAGATGAAAATCATCCTCGTCCCACACCTCCATTATCTTCTTCCTTCTTCTAGCCTCCGATGATCAAGGCTTGATCCTGTTCTTGAATTGTTTTTTGTTGAAGAGATTATCTTCTGCGTTAGATTCCCAGAAATCAATCACACTCACTTTATTCGCTGCCACACTTTCCGACTTGGGCCTACCCAATCAAAATATCAATTAATAGAATCATTCCTCTCCCACCTTCTTCTGCTTCCCTCCTACATTAGTTTAGTTTCTTCGATGGATACAAGGAAGACACAAGGAAACTACGTACGTGACTGGGACGATCTGTTGATTCGAGTCAAAGAATTTCGAAGACAAAATGCAGGGCTTTTGATCGAGTGAGAAAACTGACATAAAAGTAGACGTAGACCACTCCAGGTCAAGTCTTTGCTTTATATTAGTTTACTCAGATGTTAGATTTCTGAGGCACCTAATTTCGTGTGGGTGGTGGTAGCACGAAATCCACGATAAAAGCTTTGCGACGTCGCATCATGTAAAAGAATTGGATTATGATGCCAGAAACGGAGAAACTTATAAATGATCAACCGATCGGCATCGTAAAAAGTGTGTAAATGTTGCATATATATTTATATATTTATATATATATATAATGTATAATATTTGTATACATATTTTATATATATATATATATTGCGCGATCTAACTACTCCCTGCTGGAGGGTGATCTGGCTTCCAGTCGGGCAGCGAGCTAAGTGAATCTGCAAGAAAGGATCAGAGAACCCAGGGTGGCTAACCCGGTGAGGTCGCTCTGATGCTTAAGTCAGTAAACTGATGCGAGCTGAAAAGCTTTGAGAGCTTAGAGAGCTAGAGAGCTAGAGAGCTACAGAGTAGAAAAATCACGCGTACCTTGCACCATTGAGGTTGGTGCCTTTATATACCAGCGTAGTTGTGGAGCTCACGAAAGAGCTCCGGGATATCCAGGGTGTGGAGATAGAGTTCGTTCTGCTTCCGAATGAGCAATATACAGGTAAGGCTTATCGTTCCACTTCCGACTCCGGTGGAGTCGGGATGAGTCATCATCGTGATCTCGGAAAAGTCGAGATCTATTAGCTCATCGTGATCTCGATAGATTCGGGATCTGTTGGAGAGACTTCTGGAGTTGGTTACGAGGGAATCAGTTATGTGGCGATTCGAGTTGTTGGTCCCAAGCTGGTACTTCAGTCTTTTAGTTCCGAACTGGATTGAATGCTGAGGTGAGCCTTATGCTGAGGTGACTGAATGCCCGAGCTCAATTGTTGCGAACTAAACTTGCTAGGCTGAGTTGTTCCCTCTCTGTCAGGTCGTGTCCACATGTCCCCTTTTCGCTAGATCAGGGTCAAATCACCCTTCATCAATTGCCCCCCACTCCCCGAGCCAGGGGTCTCGACCCGGTACGGGGAGTTCATGACGAGTACAGGTGAATTTGGTACGAGGTCTAGGCGGTTTGACAGGTGAATCATTGGTCAGACCAGCACGGCCGCTTGGCAACAACCCAGGTTGCGTCAGGTGTACGCGTGGATGTTAAGCCGTTTTATAAACTCCRCGGATGTCAAAACACGCGCTAAACCGATTTCAACCTCGAGGGTCGTGTAACCTGTTTTCCTAGGAGCCATTGGATCGTGACGATCTCAACCGTTGATTCCCGGATACAATGGCTATAAATAGGGGGCAAGGGACTCATTTTCTTCGCCACAAGTCTGATAATTCGCATTTTGAGGTCGTGCTCGAAGTCCTTTAGTTTGATGTCTTCCCGAGGTCGTCTTCCTTTCTTCAGTTCGGTCTCTCTTTTGGTGAGTCTCCCCTAGCTCTCTTTTTCGATTTCGTGTCTTCCATTATGTCTAGTTTTAGCTTTGATAGTCTTTTAGACGGGAGCAGTGAATCCGTTGGAGCCGAGGTGGGTACTTTGGCTCAGGCCATAGATCTTCGTCCTGCCTAGGAGGTTACTTCGGGTCAGGATGCAGTCCGTGGTCCTCCTGAGATGGACTCACCCCGGGGGGAGCGAGAGGCCTCTGGTGACCTGGCTTCCACCTCACATCGAGGTCGGGTGC